TGTGGTTTACTAGAGGGAGGGGAGTCTAAGGTCCTCCACAGTTTTCTATTAACTACCAATAGTGATTTAAAAAAACACTTAAAATCAAGCACTTTCTTTCAGAAGCTTGATGAAAAGTCAGTATTTTTTTAATAGTCCTCTTTGTTATTAATCATTAAATAATACACCAAATACTTTTATATAAAAAACGTACTGCATTGTATACAATTATTTCCATTTTCATGTAAAAAATATAACACGCCTTTCATTTATACTGCCTTTCCTACTATTTCCTTTAAAAACATTGTCATACACTGTCAAACATTGTCATACATTGTCATTGTCACAGCGCTCTGTGTCATTTTACACAGCGTGGGAAAGTTCTTTGGAATTTTCCCATGCTGTGTAAAATGACAAAGAGCACTCTGATTGGCTTAAACCCACCAATCAGAGTGTTCTTAGCGTAATTGCAGGGCGGGGGGAAGGCTTTATAAGCCTCCCCCCGCCCTGCGGAGCTCAGTCTGCCTCTCCTCATTATCATTATGGCCCCCACCCGCTGCCCAGGGGTTGGGGGCCGAGGGGCAGGAGGACAGTAGGTTCCCCCCCCTCATTATCATTATGGCTCCCACCTGCCGCCCAGGGGTGGGGGCCGAGGGGGAGGACAGTAGGTCCCCCCCTCATTATCATTATGGCCCCCACCCGCTGCCCAGGGGAGGGGGCCTGGGGGGGAGGACAGTAGGTCCCCCCCATTATCATTATGAACCCCACCCACCGCGCAGGGGTGGAGGCCGGGGGGGGACAATAGGTCTCCCCCCTTATTTTACTTTAGGGCCCCCACCCATCGTTTAGGCTGCTCACTGTTTACTAGACAAGCCCCTACTCGCGGTATAGCGAGTAGGGGAAGCATTTACTAATACTAAGTAATTTTTACTTAGTATTAGTAAATGTGGCTGAAAGACCAATTTAGGGCTTTCAACCTTTTAGTAGATAACTCCCTGATACCGTGGGAATTATGGAGTTATCTACTAAGCGGCTGCAAGATGCAGCCACAGCACTTATAGGATCGGAGTTTCATTCATTCAAATGAAATTCTGACACAAATAAAATGCGGAATTGAGTTCTAAAAGAAACAAACATACTGTTCTCATTCAGTTAGAACGCAATTCGGCAGTTTCGTCTAAAATGACAGGAAGCATCACGGGAACACTGAGGAAAGGTAAGAATTACTGAGCTGGTCAAGCAGAGCTGGTCAAGTGGACGAAACCTCCATAAGGCAAAGAGTCCCTACTTTGTCTTATGATTTTAAAGAAAACTAAAGAAGACAGGAAGAAAAGAAGAACAGATCATGAGAGAAGGAGAGAAGAGGAAGAGATTGAGGAAAGGTAAGTTTGGCATGACAGTGCCGCTTTAATACTGCCGAGGAATATGAGGTCCAAATATTCAGTAAGCTCATTATCAATGTGAATGTTTTTTTGTTTTTTTTAGAGTAATCAAGTTATGAATGATCATTTATTCGTTCCCATGTATTAAATTACCCTTAAAGAGGGTAATGCTAACCTCTTTCTCCATCTGGATCTGACCCACTAATTGAGTGTACGCTTTCTCCCATTGTGGACTAACAATAGACTTCCAGTTTTGTGCAATGATTAATTTAATTGCTAGTGGCATATTGGTAAGCAACATCTTATCTTTTAAGGGCATAATTGGCCAGTTTAGATGTAGTAAAACTTCTGTTGGAGACCAGTTTATTTTGCAATTAGATATTCTAGTAAACCAATAGAATGATTTTCTCCAGATATCTTTGAGCCTATCGCATTCCCACCATATATGTAAGTGCCTTTTTGGATGTTGCATCTTCAACATAAGTCAGACTAAGATGGGGACATTTTTACAGATTTCATGGGAACCCAATACCATCTTTTAATAATTTTGTAATGCATCTCCAAAAGATTTAAACAGTGTACAAATGGTGTAGATCTAATTAATGTTTTGTTTCAATTATCTTGTTTAACATTTAATTTCAAATCTTTTTCCCATTTAGATATAGCAGGTATTTTTTGTATAATGTTAAGATTTGTAATCAATTGTCTAGTTTTTAGCAGAATTTCTCCCATTTTTGCATGTTTAAATATTTCAGATATATTTGAAATCATATCGGTATCATGGAAGATAAGATATTTATTTAAAATATTTTTCACTCTAAGGCAATTGAAGATTTGGGAATTAGGGAGATTAAATTATTCCTTCAAATCTGCAAATGATTTTATGGAAGCATTAATTACCAAATGAAATATATTACAAATATTATTTTGTTTTCAGGGAGTCAAGTTCAAATCTTCTGTTCATACCTTTCAAAATTCCTATTTTATTTATTGGTAATAGTCTTGACTTAATTTGCATTTGTTTTTTTTTTTATAGTTATCCAAGTTTGTATTAATTGAGTCAAAACTATACTTTGTTGTTTTAAGAAGCTAATTAATTGTTTTTCATTAACATTCCATATAATTAGAGATAAATCTTGAAACCCTGTCATAAACCTTTCAATGTCTTGCCATGCCTCAAATTCTGGGGAATAAGATTGTAAATGATACAAGTGGGTCAAAACACTGGCTTGATACAAAATTGTAATATTTGTAAATCCTAATTTGCCTTTTTTTTCAGGCATAGATAACATCTTATGACTGATCCTAGGAGGCTTTGCCTTGCATATGAAATTTGATGTATTAGATTGTAACATTAAAAGCCAAGGATTATAAATTGTGAGGGGAATCATTTGAAACATATATGATCATTTTGGGAATAATGTAACTGTTTATTAAATTGATACGATCCCACCATGATAATTCAACCTTCCTCCAGTTTTTAATAGAATTATTTGTTGAGTTTAACATTTCCATAAAGTTTACTTCCATTAATCTATCTATATTTTTTGATTTTGACTCCCAAATATACAAAACTATGTTTAACCCAAGTGAAATGATATAAACTCTTTAATATTTTTAACAAAGGAATTTGGTATATAATATATACCTTAAGTGAAGCGCTATAAATATTGAGGAATTACCTCACATGGTCTTGATTGGGTCGTATACGTCACATACAGAAATGGAAGATAACAATATATAATATAGTGCAGATTGTAAAACACTTGTGCAATTTCAAATGAGATAGATAAATGGATCACTCACATTTTCCAGAGCCTATCTTTTGGCTCTGTAAATTGGACAGGTATGCTTTTTAGGGCAGCATCCCACCACTATTTCCTGCTGAAATTTCTCCGGGAAGATAAAAACAGCAGGAAATGCTAGCAGAATGCTTGGTTGTATAGGGAGAGGTATTAGCAGTAGAAAGAGGGAAGTGCTCATGCCATTGTACAGAACACTGGTGAGACCTCACTTGGAGTATTGTACACAGTACTGGAGACCGTATCTTCAGAAGGATATTGATACCTTAGAGAGGGTTCAGAGAAGGGCTACTAAACTGGTTCATGGATTGCGGGATAAAACTTACCAGGAAAGGTTAAAGGATCTTAACATGTATAGCTTGGAGGAAAGACGAGACAGGGGGGATATGATAGAAACATTTAAATATATAAAGGGAATCAACACAGTAAAGGAGGAGACTATATTTAAAAGAAGAAAAACTACCACAACAAGAGGACATAGTCTTAAATTAGAGGGACAAAGGTTTAAAAATAATATCAGGAAGTATTACTTTACTGAGAGGGTAGTGGATGCATGGAATAGCCTTCCAGCTGAAGTGGTAGAGGTTAACACAGTAAAGGAGTTTAAGCATGCGTGGGATAGGCATAAGGCTATCCTAACTATAAGATAAGACTAGGGACTAATGAAAGTATTTAGAAAATTGTGCAGACTAGATGGGCCGAATGGTTCTTATCTGCCGTCACATTCTATGTTTCTATGTAACATCCAATGTATAGTATAGTCAATTCACAAATATTTCTGATAGAATGTAAATAGGTATTATGCTCACATGTTATAGAGCCTTAAAATCCTGGCTCGTATTCGTGGTTCAATTTTTCAATTATCCAATTGTCTGTGTCTTTAATTATGAGTCCCTCCTATATTTGTATTCACCTGTGTTTCCCTTCATTTTATTAGTGGGAGAAGGAGGTATGTTTTAAATATAAAATGTCATTGGTTGTGGCGAAACCGGCCTCGCCACGTGTCCTTGGAGGGGGCTGCTTGCCCGCCTCTTGCCTTTGGACTATGGACCAGACTTTATGAGAATGTGTTAACCCAGATAGCTATGCCATGGAGCCTATTTGTGTAGTTAAAGACTTCGGCTCCATGGCAATTGAACTGTGTGAATAGGATCTGAGCGCTCTTCAGTAGTTTTGTGCGCTCAGATCCCAGCTATCTGGGGATATGTGAAATGTCTGTGTGTTATGTGAAAAGGTTACTTTATGTATTTTAAAGTGTTTTGTGTCTTTTTGCAACCATGTGCTTAATGGAGTCTTGTGAGTAATTGAATTACTCTCCAGGGTAGAAGACTCTGAAACTGGTTTGGGCCAGAAAGCCATGCTTCATTTAGTCACAAAGGACTTTCCCTTAACTTTTGAACCCCTGGTCTGATTTGTGCCATTTTTTAATATGTTGTTCCCCTGAATGGATTGATTATGAAAATGTATGTTTTATGTTTGTGACATGTATATTTTAGAAGTTATAAATATTGTGTAAAAACTGTATTCCTCTGCCGGTGATAATGAGATTACCCATTGTGTTCAGTAATCATATCACATGCAGAGGGGAGGATTTTGTGTGGGAGTGTCTGGGTGTATTGTACGGATTGATTGGTTGTTTTGTAACGCCCTGTGGGCTGTACTATGTTTGTGGATTGGGAATAAAAGAGACTGTATGTGACAGTACAGGAAGTTCCTGTTTTAACCCTCAAAGTGAAGTGTCGTCTCATTATTGGGGGAAGGATTTATTGTATGCTGTTCCAGTTTGACTGCTAGGAGAGTAAACCTATTCGTATGGTTCCTATTCAACTGTCTACAGCATTCATATGCTTGGGAGAATTTATTTGTTTCTCCGGTTCGGTGATTGTGGTGTCTGCCAGAGTGCTTGGAGTCCTCAGGAAGCGCTAGGAGCATCCTTCAACAGAGGTACCCAGTCGGGGTGCCAGGCGATCCGTTACATTGGTGGTTTAGTGGCTGTCGGAAGTGACTGCCGTATAATCAGTGGTTGGCGGAAGTGTGTTTAGTGGTTGGCGGAAGTGTCCGCCGGATGATCAGTGGTTGGTGGAAGTGATTTTTTTTTTCTCCTCGAAATAGGAGAGGGGGATTGGATATACAGAGGAGAAAAATGAGACAGAAGGCATCCATAGAAACAATAAATGAAAAACAGTCAATCTAACTTCAAAAACCTTAAACCAAACACAAATAAAATTGCTCCAAAAGGGTTTAAAATATGCCCCAACAAATAATCTAAAGAAATTCAATACATATATTGACCTTAATAAATTTAAAAGCAATCTTTGTATAAAGAATTTTTTTCAAAAAAATCCAATTATGGCCAACTCAAATAGGAAAGAGGAAGACAATTATACACATACACCATTGAGAAACAAATAAAAAAAATTACAAAGAATTTAATTTCGAGTGAAATGTCAACATTTTAAAAAATGGTTATGGCAGATATCAACAAAATGAAAAAGCCAAATAAATACCAGCAGAATTTGTCAAAAAAAGAGTATCAGAGTTTAGAGGATTTCAAAACAGATAATTCAATCATAATCAAGCCAGCAGATAAAGGTGGAGTAATAGTCCTTTTAAATTTTGAAGGACTACAACAGAGAAGCCTCAAGACTATTAAATGATAGAAAAACTTATCAAAATATTAACAATGGACCCAACTAAAATGATAAAAGAAAAATTAAATATATATTTAAAGAAAGGCCTAGATACAGGTATTTTAAATAAAAAGGAATTTGAATATCTAAATGTAAAATTTCCAAAAATCCTGGTTTTCTATTACTTACCAAAAGTACACAAAGACCTAATTCATCCACTTGGAAGGCCTATAATTTCAGGCATTGGACTCATATCTAGTAGGCTGTCTGAATACATAAATAAATGTCTACAGCCGATAGTACAAAAGACACCTAGCTACTTAAAAGATGCAGGAAGCATTTTAAGGAAAATTGAAAACATCACCTGGAAAGAGGAGTATTACCTTGTAACTGCTGATGTCAGCTCATTATATACCATAATATCCCACCAAAAAGGCTGCACAGCAGTTAGGTATTTCCTGGGACAATCAAAATGTTTTAAACCTGAACAGATAGATTTTATAATAGAGGGAATCGAGTTAATTTTAGCCAGTAACTATTTTTGGTATAATGAAGTTTTTTATTTACAATCCTGTGGTACGGCGATGGGCACCAGGTTTGCACCCAGCCACGTGAACTTATTTGTAGCTATTTGGGAACGCCATTTCATATTGCGGGATCATGGCTGGGTGGAGGGCCTGGTGACCTATCGCCGGTACATAGATAATTTGTTTTTTATCTGGAATGGCACGGAAGACACTTTGAAAAATGTCATTTATAACCATAATAATTATGAAGGAGGAATCATCACCACAAATTATAGTAAAAAACAAACCGTATTTCTAGATCTCAATATATTCATTGAAAGAAATAAAATTAAAACTAGTACCTATTTCAAAACCGTGGACGTAAACAGCTTTATACACATATCAAGCTGTCATTACAAAGCGTGGCTTAAAAGTCTCAATTCCTTCACATTGGAAGAAATTGTACAGAAGATGATAAATTTAAAGAACAAGCTAACAAACTAAAGACAGATTTACTAGAAAAAGGCTATAAGGAAACGGATTTGGAGAAAAATTATCAACAAATATTACAAATAAATAGAAATACACTCCTTTTAAAAGAAAAAAAAACAATAAACAAAACACAAGAAAATTATATAACTATTGTGTGAAATTATAGCTTCAATCATAGAGGAATCAGGAAAATATTCAATATATATTTTTTTTACGTTTTTTAGGGAGGGAGCTAGACCAAAAAGAAAGGCGAATCACACAATTTTTCAAACCGTGAGAGAAACCATGGGAGAACAGATTTTCTCCTCTGGAAGATCTCACGGAAACTCCACCCAAAAGGAAAAGGTCGTTAGAAATATTGTGGAGGGAAGAAAACCACCTGAGAAGGAACTAGAGAAACAAGCAGGAATATATACTTTAACAGAAATCAAATTAACCCCAACAGATATACAGGCATTAAAAAAGGTTTAAAATTTGCCCCAAATAAAAATATCAATCATTTTGACACCTCCAAAAATATATTAGAAGAATGACCCTCAAAAGGTTTTTTTCTAAAACAAGAGAGGATATTTCATCAATTTTAGATATAGATGGAACAAAAAAGGAGTTCAAAAATAAATCTACATTTTATCCAATACATCTAAAAGGTCCCCATTTAGAGACCTTTAATAATATGGTAATTGCAGATTTGGAACAATTAGAACTCAATTTGAATAAACAAAGGAAAAACAAATTCAATCTTGGTAAAGAGGAAGCTGATAGTATTAGGAAACTACAAGGCATGGAAGAAATTATCATCAAAGAGGCGGATAAGGGAGGAGAAATAGTGACAAAAGAATATTATCTCAAGGAAGCCCATAGAATATTGGGGGATAAAAAGACATATTCAATTAAATAAAGATCCCACGACAGATTTTAATTTTGAATTTGAATCTTTATTAAATTTTGCAGTACAAAAGAATGTTATTACCAAAGAGAATGCTCAATACCTTTTCAATAAATATCCAGTAATTCCATTTTTTTTTTTTTGCTGAAACTACATAAAAATTCTGTTGTATCCCCGGGAAGACCTATCATTAGTGGGATAAATTCAATAACTGCACACTTATCAGAATTTATAGACTATCATTTACAAAAATATGCCCAAGAAGCTCCCTCTTATATACGGGATTCATCCCATATTTTAGAAATTCTTGATAATCAACAGTGGGACCAAAAGAACATATGGGTTACGATAGACGTGACATCTCTATACACCATTATCAAACATGAAGTGGGTCTGATAGCGGTTAAAAGAATTATGGGAGAAGATATAAACATGCCAAGTTCCCTAAAAAATTTTTTTATTAAAAGGTATACATTTCATTCTTCATCATAATTATTTTTATTTCAATTAAGCTTTCTACCTTCAACAAATGGATACAGCCATGGGGACCAGGTTTTCCCCCAGCTATGCCAACATTTACATGAGAGACTGGGAAGCCAACTCAATATGGAGGGGGCATAGCTGGGCTGCAAACCTGGTCCTATGGAAACATTTTATAGATGACGTTTTCTTAATTTGGAAGGGCACACAGCAAGAATTGGAAGAGTTCTTACAATATATAAATATTAATAATTACGGTTTGAAATTCACACATACGTACGATGCAGATAGTATCAATTTTTTGGATATAACCTTTTTTGTGAATCAGGGCAAAATTCAATCGAAATGCTATTTCAAAGAAACGGAAGGAAATACCTTTATACACAAAAAGAGTTGCCATCATGATAATTGGCTTAATTCAATACCAAAAAGTCAACTCATCCGAATCAGGAGAAATTGTTCAAAAGATAGTGATTATTATGAACAAGCCAGTCATTTATCTAATAAGTTGATCTCTAAAAAATATGATAGAACCGTTTTAAAACAAGAGACATCTAGAATTGGAAAATTAAATAGAAGAGAACTATTAAATCAAAACAAGAAGGACAAGGTACAAAAGGAAGTTTATAAATATTCCTTTATTACCCGATTTAATGCACAACATTATGAGATCAAAAAAATACTAAACAAACATTAGGACATTCTTTTGAAGGATCCTATTTTGGGGAGAGTACTCCCAAAAAAGGCACCAGTAATTTTCAGAAAGGCGAAAAATTTTAAAAACATTTTAGCACCTAGTTATGCCCTAAAAAATCCACATAGAAATATGAAAATAGAAAGTAGAAAAGGTTTTCATTCATGTAATAAATGTAAAGCTTGTAGAACCCAGAGATTATTAAATGTAAAAAAATTTAAAAGTACCACAACAGGAAAAGAGTTTAATATAAAATCTAATAAAAATTGCGAGACTCGAAATATAATATATATCCTGCAATGCCCCTGCGGAAAACAATATGTAGGGCGGACTTGCAGAAAATTAAAAGAACGCATTTTGGAACATCAAAATAATATTCAAAAAAAATTTAATAAACATATAGTCCCTATTCATTGCAATATGTGCAATAAATTTAATTGGCAAGATTTTTATTTTTTAGATATAGAAAAAATTGAAAATTATTGGAGGGGTGGCAACCTCATTAAGAAATTGGTACTGGATTAATACATTAAAAACCCTACAACCAAGGGAACTAAATTTAGATATTGATTTATGGTGCTTTTTAGATTAAAATAGGTTTATTGAAGTCTGGCATTATGTATTAGCTTTTTTCCATTTGATCTTTATCTTATGGTGTCGGGAATCTCTCAAATAGGATTTTCAATTCATATTTTAAGTTTATATATTTTATTCTTATTTTGTATTTTGAGTTTTTTATGATTCTACTATCTGAGTCCTTCAAATTTCCTTCTTGTTTTATAAGAATGTAAAGAGCCTCTTCTCGCAACCATACATAAAAGGGAAAAAAAAAAAAATAAAAAAAAAACACTTCATAAGTTGTATTTAGAATCAAAATAAGTTAATTTATTAATAATGACACAAAGAAAGATTCTATAGAGAATTTTTGTTGATACACAAATTAAGAAAGATTTCGATATATAAATAAAGATGTAATAGAGAATTCTTATTTAACATAGATTTTGATACTATATTAAATTATAGTCATATGTTTAAAAATTTGAAAATATAAAATACACCCCTTTAATTAGTAAGGGAATTTTTCCACAAGTTGGTATGAGGTTGCTTGCAGAGTCTCTGTTATACTTTATATATGTTAATAATGAGAATGCATTCATTTTGTACAAATATAATTGGATAAATAATTAATACAAAGAGAAAGTGTGCTTAAAAGATCTTCTTATATGCTTTTATTTCCCCCCTCATGCCTTTATTATACACAATACATAAATTTTTAACGGTCCCATAATGGTGGACCGGACGTGGAACGCAAGAATCACAATACTGTTGAAAAAACTCAGTGGAACGCAAATGGAACGCACGTCTGACGTCCGGAACGCAGCGTGATGACATCATACACCCGGAACCAGGAAGTAATCGCAATTTGACCGGGACCAGCTGAATCTTGTCGGAGACACACATAAAAGGACTTCATTTTAATTGTGGGGTGTATTTAAGGGGGAGGGAGTGGCAATGTTTTTTTATTCATTGTTATACCTGTTACTACTATTCAAAGTCCCTGAGGAAGTCCCTGGAGTGGGAGGAAACGCGTTGGACAGATGGTGGACAGTTTTAACTAATTTTTATGCTGATTGATTCTTACCTATGTGTAAGTAATAAATATATTTGTTTTACTTTGTGCACATCTTTCTACTTTTCATTTTGGATGCATTCTATTTTTCTTTGTTATTGAGATCTGGAAGATCATACATTGGAACAAGAATATTGCCTGAGAGCTACAAGGATCTCTGATACGCCCTATTCATACAGTTAAAGTGTGAGTGACCCATTTGGCACATATCACTGTTATAAAAGTACCATACGGAGTTGCACTATGTTATCTTTTATTTCCCTATAGTTGGATTGACCCATATTTGTATTTGTGTTTTAAATATTCAATAAGCACTGGACGATCTTAAAACAAGATCCACAATTATTAAACCTCATACCTGAAAAAACAAAAATAATATTCAGAGGCGCACCTAACCTCAAACAACTATTAACTAAAAACCACATAAAAAAGAAACCAACTTCAACTTTTATTAACAACAGTAAAAGTTTTTTTGGATATAGGATTTGTTCTGCTTGCAAAAACACAAAAAATAAAAAAAGACACATTACCAAATTTGAGAACTCTAAACAAGACAAGGAATTTAAAATTAAGGAATTAATAACCTGTCACTCGGTAAACGTGGTTTATCTAATGGAATGCCCATGCGGCCTAAAATATGTATGCTGCACCAAAAGAAACCTCCACACAAGGATAGAGGGGCAGAAATATTAAAAAGGTTATGAAGGACACAGTGTGTCACAACATTTTAAGAGTAAACATAATAATGACCCAAGCAACCTTCAATTCATGGGCATCCAGAAAGTAACAGGGAATTGGCATGGAGGAGAGTCTGATTAAGAGTTTGGGTCAAAACAAATTTTCGATTTAGAAACATTGTATCCCTAGGGTCTAAATGTGGACTTCGAGCTCTGCCATTTCATCTAACCTTTTACAAAAATCATTTGATAATAAAATAATTTTAAATCTCTATTTCTAACCTAAAAGAATGTTTATAAAATATTTTTATACTTTAGATTTTATAAAAAACTTTTTTTATTAACAGCTGAAATCTAACTTAATTATTTCTAATTAGACTCTAATAAAACTAAAGAGAATAAGAGTCACAATTTGTTGTCACTTTAAAATAGAAACCTAAGGGTTCTTAAATTACACATATATAGCTAGATGTAGAGAAAGGAATGAATACTGCATTATGCCATAATCAGAAACATACACATGTAGCTGATAGACTTGCTTATCTTACTGTGTGAAACACATATAAAAGAATAGAACCAGCAGTCCCTGGCAAGGAAGTATTAGCCTGAGCAGCAATAGGGGATGATGAGTGCCAGAAAGTGTTAGCTGACTGCTTCAGCCTATTACAGATGCCCATCACTGGCATATATTAGTAAGGCTAAGGAAGTGTGTAATCTCTGCCTAAGCCTCCACAGTAGGATAGGCTGTAGGTAAACAGGAACCCTCATTCACTATTCAAAACTGGTTTAAGGTTGATTGGAGGGATGGTGTCAGAAGGACTCCTGGCACATTAACCAATTTGATTATAATTATTATGTTATTTATATAGCGCCATCAAATTCTGCAGTGCTTTACAATGGGCGGACGAACAGACATGTAGTTGTAACCAGACAAGTTGGACACACAGGAACAGAGGGGTTGAGGGCCCTGCTCAATTAACTTACATGTTAGGGGGAGTAGGGTAAAATGACACAAAAAGGTAAGGATAGTACCTTTTTTTGTTTGATGAGATTAAATGTTTAGAGTACCTTTATGTCCTTTTAAAAGAACAAGTATAGAAGCCAGTATGAGTCATGGTCAACTGGAGTATAGTCAGAGGTCAGAGGAAGAATGAGTTGGATAAAAAGAAAGAGTTTTGAGGGGGAAGAAGGAGATATGGGCCCTTTACAGTCATATCACCTGTGTATTAGCTGTCATGTATTGTATGTCTGTACTGAATGTTTGAGGTGTATGGCTTATGCTTAAATTAATATTCTTAAGACTTTTCTGAGGATAAAGTTGTTTTTTTATTAGACTACAATTAAAGATAAGTGTTTTGACTACTAGAATTGGGAATGAGACTCCTTTAATTGTTCCAGTTTAGGCAATGCTACTTAAAATGACAAAGGGCCCTAATTTGTGAAAGATACAGTTCTACCTGATATAAACCAGTTTTCCTTTCAAATATTTTTTTATTGAAATTAATATTTTTTATTCATAGATTTTACTTTTTCATTTAGAAAAAATAAAAAGTAAAATACATATCTGTTTACTTAAACAAACATTTGAATTATACAATTTGAATAATAACAATAATACAACTACATCATTGAATCATTATCTTATTTGTATCAGCAATATATTCAGCAGTATATAATGAATTCAAAATATAGTTAAATATATCTGTCTACATAACCAAACAGTTGCATCATACAATAATAACAACAGTACAATTACTTCATTATACTATTATTTTATTCTAATATAATACAGATTTTTTGTTTGGTTTTTTTTTTAGGTGGGGAGGGGGGCACAACATGCTGTTAATATTGGTAAAATACCTAAGAATAGGAATGTATTTTCTCATTCACATATATTTGCACATCATTACGTAACTATAAAGGTTTTTTAATTTTTTTTTTTCAATTTGACAATTTTTTTTTCGTCCTTAAATCGTACCGGGGGAGTACAGAAAGGAAAAAGGGGCTGAGGAACAAGCTAATTCACTTTTAAACGCACAGGGTGCACAGCATTACATGGCTTTGCACTGCTTACATTCACAAATGTCATGGCTACTAGTGTGGTCCAGCACGCAGAAACTATGTAAACATATACATAAGAAGGAAAAGGAAAATAAAAGGACAGAGCGTAAACCGGACCTTAGAATGGCCGGACTAATACGCTAGAGACAGAGAATGGTCAAAGGCAAAGCCGAGGTCAAGGAAGCCAGAAAATACACAAGCCAAGTCAGGGAAACCAGAATTCAGAATAACCAGGGAAAAGCCAAGATCATGATACCAGGAAATCAGATTCACAAAGATAAAGCACTCTTAGGAAACCAGGAACAGGAAACCACGACAGGGCGACCTCTGACCTCTGTTGTGATGTCACGTGCACGTTATTATAATTTTCGGGGGCGGGGCTAGAGATGGACGCGACCATGCGGTCAGTGCCATCTTTAATTTGGGCGCGACGCCCGGAAGACCTGGGGGAGCGGTTGCCGGCTCGCCGACGAGCAGGTAAGCTCGTCCTGTCAGCGAGGCTGTGTCGGTCAGGCACGGGCGTGCCAAGCGGCGGGCCGGCGACTGCAACAACAAGTAGTTTTTATATATAGCTACTATACAGTTCTCTGGTTAATGTGACATCCTTAGGTGCATGGCATATTGTGTTCCCATTATATCAATCAAACAATAAACAAAACATCTTAACCCCTTAAGGACACATGACATGTGTGACATGTCATGATTCCCTTTTATTCCAGACATTTGGTCCTTAAGGGGTTAAATACATAAGGATTAAGAGGTAAGGGGGGCATTAGAGGGTGAGGTAGTACCTGTGTCATTCGTGTACTGATAAGGTTACTCTACTGCATTAGCGGTGTAACGGACCTTTTGCACACAAGGGGTTAAAACCGTTTAGGCGATCGTCCCCTTTCAGAGATGCAGGCACAGCTACTGTAGAACACCATGGCCGTCTTTAATATTGATTAGACCCTGGGCAAGTATTTGCATGGGCCCCCTGCCCCCCTACCCCACTCCATGGTGTTAAAAAATATATAAAAAAGAGACAGCGCTAATTAACTAACAGGCAGCAACCTTGAAAAGGGAAACCCTCCAAACCGTTTAAAACAAGACAGGTAAAACAACATTAAAAAGGCTGCGCCACAGAAAGGATAAAATAAATTCAATAGGTAAAAAGTCCAACAGGAAAAATAAATAGGTAAAAAGTCCAACTTGAGTGTCCTTGCGAATAGTCTTTATAACAAGAAGTGCAGTAGTGAAGTCTTCATAAACTGTATTGGTTCCACTTATATAGAAGACAAAAAAGAGAGAGAGGGACGACCAATAGTGTAGTATTGTATAATTCCAAAGGTGACGTATAAAGAAATAATAGTGGAAAACTCACATTTAATAGAGCTTACGTCCAGCTCTAGGAAAAAAACGCATACAGCGGTATGATCCCCGCTTATAGGATATGTCGTGGGTATCTCTCCGTCAGTGGTGTCCAACTCTCAAACAAGGAAAAGAAGAGACAGCCGATAGTGCTCACTGTTAAAGTAGTCTTACTATAAGTAGATAAAAACGTACTTACAAATGAGGAGCAGACCGACTGCTCTTGTGTATCAGCATAGGTTTATCCCCACCTCTGGATTTCTTGGAATACAGGAGACTTCCGAAGTAGGTGTTGGTATATAATAGTATATAAAATACTAAAAAATATACTAAAAAGCCAGGTTAAAAAAGGAGGGTAATGTGTATATAAAACTAGAAAAAAGAATAGTTGGAACAAATAAATGACCAAAAATTACTTTAATATTAAAATACACAATATAAAATATCCATAACGCGTTTCGTTAACAGACTTTATCAAATGGAATAACATACAATACCTGGCTAGCTGTATTATATAAGGGTTCAGATGGTTGAAATTTGGTGCCAAAATTGATCTGTCCAATCAGAATTAAGTTACATTTGGCAATTTAAAAACGTTAAAATACATCAATAAAAACAAAATATAAGGTGTAAGAACACTAATAATCAACTTAGATAGCAAAAACGAAGGTTTAAAAGGCATAAAATTAACGACTGAAAGTGCGCACGTGACGTGCGGCACTTCCGTTTTTCGGACATGATGCCGCGATGCCTAGTGGGAAATGTAGTTGTCAAGCCACAAATGGCGGCCGTGAGTTGAATATAGTAAAAAATAAGCGTGGCCATGTTGAGAGGGACATAAAAATAAGAGCCCACATAGTAAAGGGTTATATATAAAATGATGGCCATATTGGGAAGGGCAAATAGTTTATAAGAGCCATATTAGGAAGGGCAAAAGATGGAAATAAAAGCACATTATGCAA